ACAGTGGTGACCAACAAGGGTCTGTGTCCTTACAATAGCTGTCCTACTTGCCGCTTTACTGTCCCAGTCCCCACTCCTATTCCTGATGTCACCTCTAAAATCAACCTGCCCGCCTGCAAGCCCTTTTCTGCAGCTCTGCTTTGGGAGAGGGCTCGGGGAACTCAGGCTGCTTCTCAGAGTAAACCAATTGATGTACAGCTGGGAAGGTCAATATTGCCATGGAATTTAGCTCCAATTCAAATGACAAGTCTTTCTTGATTTTTTTAATTAGAGAAGGAATATAGTGATTGTGGAAAAAGCCCTAAAAGAGGAGGCTTTTTCCTGTCTCTGACACTTGCAAGATTTTGTGTAATTTTTAGCAAAGTGTGGGTTCCAGTTTAGCCACTAATTATATATGACCCAAACTATACTATTTAACAGTTTCGAACTCAGTACGTGATGTACAAGAAAAAGATGACTTAGATGACATCATCTCTAACATCCCTTCCGGTTCCACACTATCAATTTGTGAAATAAAAGCAGCCGGGTGGCAGTTTGTAGTAGTTGCTTCCCCCTCATTAACCCTAGGGATTGTTTTGGCTAAAAATATGGCAACACCTTAATGCAACTTTCGACAGGCAAGTGAATCAGCCTCCTGAACGTCCAGATTAGGGAACGAACAGCTATTCAGAACCTCAGGAAACAATAACGGTGACAAAAAGAGAGCTAGCAGCTTCCTTGGGAGTCAGCAGACATTAGCAGGGGCTGCAGCATTAAGATAAGAACAGAGTAATGAGAAAACGAGTTGCAGCCACTTCCTGGACTGCATTCCAGCGGTCACTCGGTGATTCGTCACATGGCTAACAGGGCTTGATAAATGAACTCCAACTGTTGAGGTTTTTTTCTCCCTTAGAAATTACTTGGAAACTTGGCTTGGGAGAATGCTTCTACTTTGAGGAAAATAACATAAAATCTTACAAGTGTCAGAGACAGGAAATAAAAATATTAAAGGGATACAAGCTAACATAAATCCCAAATCAAGGTACACCCATTCAGAAAAAGAGGGAAGATCATGATAGTTAAGTCAAACATGAAAGCCACTAAACATGCAAAATAAATAGGCTATAAAGCAAATGAGGCTGTAGATGTAGCCATTTATAAAACATACAAGACATTTACAAGACATAAGACAGATAACATAGGTATCATCTCCATTTTACACATGAAAAAAAAGGCTCAGAGAGGTATATCATTCATCTGATGACACACAGCTAAGCAGTGGTAGAGCTGGGATTAAAATATATATTTATTAAAGTAATACATGCACATAGTTAACAAATCAAACATTGCTAAAAAGCACACAGTTGAAAATTTGCATATAAGTTTTGACTTTCCAAATATTTCCATCACTCCTTGGGGAATTGGTTCCAGACCCCTCAGATACCAAAATCTGCAGAGGCTCAGGTCCCTTATATAAAACGGTGTTGAACAAGGTATATAGTCAGCCCTCTGCATCTGCAGAGTCCCAACAGAGGACTGAAAATACTATTTTAGATCCACAGTTGGTTGAATCTGGGGATGTGAAACCCACATATGCAAAGGGCTGACTGTATTTATTGAAAAAAATCGGTATTAAGTGGACCTGCACAGTTCAAACCTATGTCATTCACGGGTAAACTGTATAATAAAATAAAGCAGTGTTTTCAATAGTTTTGCCTTATTATTCTTTGACTGTATTTCCCAATGCTATCATTTGATTTTTTACTTTGGCCATTATGTTTTTAATTTCCAAGAGCTCTGGATTCTTCTATGGTTGTTCCTATAGTTTTTTTTTTAAAGCATCCTATTCTTGTTTCATGGATGTAATACCTTGGCTTCCTAAGGATATTACCGATAGTTTTTTTGTTTTCTTCCTTTCCTTGTTTTCTCTGATTCTACTTCTTTGTTGGTTGTTTTAGCCTCTGTGTTTCATATCAATGTTGTGTGATCCTTGTTATCCATTTGTGTGCAATAGCAAGACATTAAAAGATTGAGCTGCAGTTGCGTGTGTCCCACGCATACATTGCATGGGACATACTTATACTAAAAATTATTCATTTGTTTATCAAAAAGGCAAATTTAACTGGACTTCTTGATTTCCATTTGCTAAATCTGACAACCCTGAGTGTGCAGCTTATAGACTTCTAGCTTCTAGTGACTGGACTAGGGGTGTGGGCTTTGAATGCAGAGACTCCTTCCATTTCGCGTAACCCCCTCTTCTGAGCTTTGCATCTCATTTCCCCACTCAGGAGCTCTTTCTTACATTTCTCCGGAGAATAATCCTTTGGCCTCTGCAAGTGTGGGGGAAAGGAAGTTATCAGCTATGCTGGTGGAAGACTTCGTGGGTGCTGGGCGTTCTGTAAACTGACTTTCTAGTAATCACCTGTCTTAAGCTCTAAATGTCAAATCCACTTTTCATGGCGCCTTTGGCTCTCAGCCCCCAGTGAGGTTCTGCAGCGCCAATGGGCTTGCTTCTCAGAGCTGTCTTCCTCTGTGGGTCCTTCTTTCACTTCTACTCTGCTCAGTCAGTTTCCATTCGTCAGCTGGCCTTCTGTTTGCACAAATGTGTTGCCATCTCTTATCAGTTATTGTGTGCCCCCCTGTCTTTTTTCCTTGCAGATTTGTCCTTTTTTTCCCTCTTAAATTCATTTGCCAATTCAGTAAAATTCCAGGAGGGAGAAGACATAGACACTTGGGCTCAATACACCAGGTTTAATGAGAATGCCAGAATGAAATTTAAATCCAGACCAGTAATTCAAAAGCCTTTACTCCTTCCACTATTCCCATGTCATAACGCATTCAGCAGGAGCCAACAATAAAAATGTGTGGCATACACTGACAGTTGTCTACTCCAGTACCTCTCCTCCCCTTCTTTCTTAGTTACAGAAGTCCTAGTTTTCAGTGGGACAGTGATTACAGTCATGGGCTGCTAAACAACAGCGATCCCTCTGAGAAATGTGTCACTAGGTGATTTCATCACCGGGCGAATGTCACAGAGTGCACTTACACAAACCTAGGTGGTATAGCCCACTGCACATCTAGACTATATGGTATTCAAGTCGTATATGCCATCTGTTGTTGACCAAAATGTTGTTGTGCAGCACAGGACTGTACCAGAATAAAGGCTTCCTTTCCAACCTTCCTTCAACCTAGGTATGGCCAAATGACTAAATTCTGACCAATGAAATGTAAGCGGAAGTGTTCTGGGGAGTTTCCAGAAAACTCTCTTAAAAGATAACTTGCATCACCTTTTGGCCCTTTTTTTCTTCACTCCTTCTTTTTTCCTGCTAGTTGGGATGTGGGTGGACATTGAGTAGCTATCTTGGACTAAGGTAGAAACTATGTGTTGAAAGTGGCATTACAGAAAGACAAAAGTAGCCTGGGTCCCTGGTGACTTAATGTAGTTACTCTGCCAACTACAGATTGTTTATCTCCAGACTTCCTCTGTGTGACAGAGAAGAAAGCCACTGTTATTTTGTGTTACTTTTTTGGTCCCTTATAATTGAATCTAATACTAACTGATATAATGCCCAAGTGCAGTAAGATTACAAAGGGGGTGACATAAGATTCCTGGAAAAGGTGGTAGAAGAGATGAACCTTAAAGGGTATTTCAGCCAGATGGGGAACTAGAGGGATAAGATTCCATGTAGGAACAGTAATATGATTGGGGCACAAGGGGCACTGCATAGGTGTTTTCAAAGGGTAACACGTAGACCCGTCTGGTTAAGGAAGATAAATCATGTAGGAGAGAAGTGGAATAAAAGAATGAAAAAAAGGTTGGGGGCAGATTATGGAAGGCCTTGAAACTCAAACCAAGTTTAAAGGTTGCTTTGAAAGCAATGAAGCCCCTAAAGGCTTTTGCAACAGAAGTTAGAGGTACATGTCTAGGGTTAGACTGAAGAATTTCAGTCTTCTAGACTATAAAGGTATTATAGAGATACAACCAGGGGAGTGAATCTAAATAGAGAAAGAAGAACATGGGTTCAAGAACTCATCCAAAGGAGCGAGGAGAAAAGAAACTTAGAAAGGATCCAGAAAAGGAGAGAGAAAGGAAGCTGGATGTTGGGGGAAGATAAGAGAGTAAGAGAGTAGAAATTGGCAATGAGAAGTCAGTAAATCTTCAGATTTTTCAAAGAAGTTAGAATATATTAGAAATGAGTAAAGGACATTGAATTTGGGGACAAGGAAGTCTCTGGTGACTTCTGAAAGTCTAATTTTGGTAGAATGTGGAGGTGGACACTACTCTTTAAGGTAAAACGGGTGTTAGGAAAACAAAGGTACAAATATGCTCCATTTATTTTAAAAGGTAGGCATTAAAAGAAATGTAAATTGAAAAGCAATTAAGATCTCCATGGAGTAAGTGAAATAATTTTTGAAGGAAGGAAAGTTGTTTCGTCTTCAAGAAAAAACTGTGTATATCAGCAAAGGAAGATATTTCCAGGCTTCTGAAAGAGGTGGTGCCTGATAGAGCAGGTCTTAAAGGAAATGAGAGGGATGGAATTTCCAGCTCAGGTGGAGGTCGAAAACTGGGGGGGCAGCTTTTCTAAGAAAGAGAGGTAGAGGAGAGGCAAGGAATGAAGGTTTGGATTTCTAGTCAACCTTCCAGCAACAAACCTTTTTCATTAGCATCAGCAATGTCATTTTAGATATGAAGAGAAATAATAGTCTAATATAGAAATCAGAGTCTTTAAAATAAAAATGACCACCACTTAGTTTCAGAGTCAAGAGTTCCACACAAGGGTCATAAAAAAATAAAGAGAGCTCCAAATCTTGTGGTGGTAGCCCTGATTTTCTTATCTTACAGACATCACCTTAATAAAGTTTATTTAGATGAGGTAAAAACAACAGCAAAACGTTTAGCTCATTTACACATTGCTATCAGTGCTAGAACAACAGGCAACCCCCAAATTGCACCTGGAAATTAATTACAGGATGAAACTTTAGATGTCCATTTGTCAAATAGATCAAATGCCGATACCTACTCAAAGTACAGCGTGAGGTCTGTTGCCAATATTGACTGCTTCAGAAGCTGCATGAGGTCACTATAATCCTTGGAGGACAGATTAGCAAAGATGTTGTGTCCCTGTAATGAGAAAGTAAAAAGTCACAAAAACCCCCATTAAATATGAGTTTTTGATTCCATGTTTTTCCTATATATATTGCATATTTTTCTATATATAGTTAATATATATAGGAAAAACATGACAAACCATTTTTTAAAAAGCTTAATGAAACTTTGCACAAATATAAACATAGTCCCTGGCAAACATAGCAAAGCCAGAAAGTGCAGTCATCTTTGAGAACTACCAAGGGACACTTTATTATGTCTAGTCTTAAAGAGCAAACTCTGAAAAATGTTGACCTTGTCTTACTATTGGGTGTATTTGTGCTAACAACTCCATTTGACTACCCATTTCCTGTGGAATTACTGAATGAAGAAGTTAACAAAACATTTGGGAATCTTTATGACCCTAAAATAAATACTAATTTCACTAATTAAAACTCAAGTTGGCGTTTTGGAAGTACTTGCTATGTCAACAAATGACTTTAAGGAGGAGAAAAAACATTAGACCAGAGGTTCTTAACTGGGGGTGATTTGAGCAATGGGGACGTCTGGCAATGTTCAGAGATATTTTTGATTGTCACACTGGTGATGGGTGTTACTGGCATCTAGTGGGTAGAGGCCAGGGATGCTGCTAAAGGTCCTACAATGCACAATTTGGCCTGAATAGCAAAGGTGAACCAGGCCCAACATGCCAGAGCAACTGAAGTTGAGAAACCCTGTGTTAAACCATGAAGATCATCTTGATAAAGCGTGTGTGGCAGATTAAATTCAGTACATACTTCCTGAGTAGTTAGAATGTATATGATATTGTTCTCGGCATAGTTCTTGGGACTGTAAAGATGACTTTCACCTGGGAAAATGTGAAAACACACCTGTATCTCCATACCTTTGAAAACATTTCATCAAAACGTGTTTTAACTACACTGGCAGCTGTACAATGGTTTTAGTGAAGTGGAAAATCCTTTTGTAAAGTGACAGACAATCCACTTAATTTGCTTTGAAAGCCAGGACTTCTCATTTATCAGGTTTTCTTAGCATGAAGTAGGAACTCATAAACACAGGGCCCGGGAACTGGAGCAGTCTGATACCTCGCGTGGAGAGCCAGAAGATGGTGCCGGAGGAGGGGGGGAAATGACTGCCTAAGAATAAACTATTTCCCAATGAGAAGTAAATTAATTATTTCTGGGAACCAGAATATCAATTAGTAAATTACCGCCTACCAGGCACCAGATGAAAATCTGCTTCCCCGAGTTAATTTATCTCCTTGGGTGAACCCACCACTTGGTAAAGACTAGAGTATATTGGTTCCACATGGGACCAGGTCCAATATTATTAATAATTTTCAAATGAACTCTCCCAGACCCTTAATTCAGCCATTAGGAAGAAGACAAATAACTAAAGGAATGCCATGCCATAATTCTGCCCCGGTTTCTTTGCCCGAGCCTTGCCCTGCGGATCAATCACAGGCTGGTATACTGGGGCCTGAGAAAGGGTGGTTGGAAGCTACCGACAAGTAGTTCCTGGGATTCAGCCATACGTCTAGCATCTCCCAGTGAAAGAAGTGCAGACACTCCTCATTTTATTGTACTTTGCTTCATTGTGCTTTACAGATGCTGCATTATTTTAATAAACTGAAGGCAAGATCCTCCACCAGCAAACATATTATGACTCTCTTTATTGCGATGGTCTGGGAGTGAACCCATGATATCTCCCAGGTCTGCCTGCATAGCTGTTAGGAGCAAGTCACAATAAAACTAATGTGAAGTCCAGGAGAAAGCTGGTCTGAATTTGAAGATCTTGATTATTTTGTGAGAGTGCATTTTACCACTTTTAAAGGACGTAGAGAGTAACTAAGCCAGTTGTTTACAGATAACTGAGTGACAAAGCTAGCCAGATCAGCTTTAATACTGATAAAAAAACATTAATTTGCAATCAGTGTATTGTTTATATGCAAATTGGCTTCTTCCAGTGCCTTAAGAGTTTGGTCCTTGAAATAGATTTGTGTCCTTGAAATACTGCTTCCATTTCGTTTAGGCACAGGGGTGGGGAATGCTGGGCCTGCAGGCCTGTAAAATCATTTGGTCTGGCCCTGTCAAGGCATTAGGGGTGAGTTAATTAAATGTTTGACCAAAGATAGCAGGCTAATTTTTAAGTTGATAATTTTGTATGATCCGCAAATGATGCTATAAAAATCCAAATGGCCCTTGGCAGAAAAAAGGTTCCCCTGTCAAGTTAGGGGTGAGTTAATTAAATGTTTGACCAAAGATAGCAGGCTAATTTTTAAGTTGATAATTTTGTATGATCCGCAAATGATGATGCAAAAATCCAAATGGCCCTTGGCAGAAAAAAGGTTCCCCACCCCTGAGAAGGGTGGTATTGATGGAAAGAGAAGCAAGTGGGGGAAGAAAGGTCTGGGGGACTTTTGCCTGCCCACCTAGCGGCTCTGTCCTTTGCATTTAGGAAGTGGGTGATGATGACATCTGCAGTTCTGCCCTTCTGAGGTCAGGATGGGAGGGGATGGGGGAGCCCGGGGCAGGGCCTGCACGCACCAGTTATGCTCACTGCATAATAATGTTGTTATTCCGGTCCTTCATAGAGAAGTCTTGAGTGAAGGGCAGCCAAGGTATTTTATTTGTCTGAAGACAAATTCTGTGTTAGTGGGATTTGTTTCCCCAAACAAATAAACAAATGATCTTTCAAGAAAACTTTGATATCCTGTGCATAATCCCTGTTATGACAACGGTGGGAGTGCCTGGGATTTGAGGTATAAACCCATCCTGTTACTAGTGCAGAAAAGACAGCCTGAACCCAAGTTCCCCCTGTCCTGCCTTCCTTGTTTGGAAATGGCTTTCATAGGGAAATTCCCGAGCCACACATGCCGGATGCTGGTTTCTGTCAGAGTTACCAAGAGCCTAACTGTGTTGCTTCCTTCCCAGCTGAAGAGAGGTCTCCCCCAGCGGTTGGCCTGCCCCAGCCACACTGCCCACTCTCTTTCTGGGGTCGAACGAGGCCTTCATGATGTTACAAAAGACATGCTTTCTCAAGGTAGGCTGGAGGAAAACCTCCATATTTAATGATGCTATTCCAGCCACACACACACAAACAGCCTGTACGCCTGCAGAAAACTGAACAGATCCTTTCCTGGCGATTTCGAACTCATGCTGCCTCAGCCAGGGTCAGTAGTGGTTTTCCTTTTCTCCGCGGGAACTAAAAGTAGAAAAGCACTTCCAAGTCCTGCAATCCTGGGTCTCAAATGTAGCTGCGATTCTCACTTTCAGACTGGTCCCACCAGCAACTTTAAGTGCTTATTTTATGTAGATACCTCAGCTGTGCTAATAAAGTGTAACTTTATCATCCTGTTTCTACCTTCTCTTAATGGGGCTGTGAGTTTCACACAATAGGAAGGTTGGGCCACTCACTACTTGGATCAAGTCCCTGTGTATGGGCTTCTGTAACCCTAAGGAAAGTAAGCAAGTTGGAGGCCATCTCCTCTGCTAAGTGAATGGGAAAAGCTTCCAAACCAAGAATGAATCCCAAATGAATCAGCTCCGGAAGAATTTGAACCCGTTCCTTGGTCAGGCATCTAACTGAATAAAAAAAAAAGCCACACAAAAGGACATAGTAGTTTGACTTAAAAAATCTGTTCTACTTCTCTGTGTCTACCTGTGGCACTACAGAGAGAGGTCGGAGGCAAGGTTTCATTGATTTTTCCGTCAAGGGGAGAAGCAGAACGTTAGGGCCGTACCTCACTCTGAAGGATCATCACTGCGTGGTTAAAATGGTGGTGCTCTAAGGTGGCGGAGGTTCCATAGAGTTGGGCCAGGGCAGAGCCGCTCCTGAAAGGGGACAGAAGGGTCAGTGATCTGTCAACAGTTCCCCACACCAGCTCTTTGGGTCAAACTGTTTTACTGCTTTGACACAAAGGACCATGAGTAGATACATTCACAGGTAACTGCTTGTTAGTTCACTAATCTATTAAGTAAACCTTTCAGGAACTTTCTGTGTTAGCCTAGACGCAGTGGATGATACGACGTGAATAAGACAGAGTCTATGACTCTAAGATATTTACAGACTAGTAAGGGAGATGAGAAGTGGTCATAAGGAAAATAAGGCATGTAGCACACAATTGAAATACCACAGAGAGTGTTCTGGGTTCAAGCAAAGTGCTTCAGCTGCTCTGAGAACAAGAGGCATCCTTTCTGGCTCTGGGGATGAGAGTAGACTTCGTGAACTAAATCTTACACAGCTTCTGAGTGTCAGAACAATTGTCTATACCAAATGTATTTGACTCTCCATGGGAAAAGACCTTGTGAATATTTTGCCTTTATTTAATCTACTTTATGTGTTCGGTTGATAAGCTTATATTGTGGTATTCCAGCCCATAGTTATGCTATGATATCTCAGTGTAGAAATATGGAAAGTTCCCTGGATTTAGAGTCAGTACAGTGACTTGGTCACGTGAAGATGCAGTTTCTTTGTCTCTAAAATTATGGTAATACTATCTACCTCACCTGTTATTTATGAGAATACAATTAAATCCTTGAAAGTACCTACACTGCCTGGCATGTAGTAGATCATAGTCTATATTAATCATTAGTTAATAATTAAAACACAAAGATATTTCCATTATAAATATATAAAGTGTTAATTGATACTTGAAAAGACTTTTTTTTAATTACCTTTAAATTTTGCTTATGTAGAACAACCCATTCCTCAACAGTTTCAATTTGGCAAAGTGTTCATTTAAATGCTCAAGTGTGTTCATTTCCAATTCTTTTGGAGTAGGATTTAGAGCATCTTAAGAGTCAAGAGAGCTCCAGAAAATCCTAAGGTTTAAAGCACAGTCATGGGATTTGGTTGAGGACCCATCCAGGTCCTTGTGTTTATGGTACTGTAAGGAGATCAGACATTGAAAGGGCAATTTGGCCTTAACTTGAAAACACTGGAGATTGATGGCTCACCATCTTCTCTGCTAGTGAGAGGAGCTAAGAGTGCATCCAAGTGCAACATGAAGGATTTTGGTCATAAGCTGCCCTTCACCTCCAGTGTGAAGTAGTCTAAGATCATGATCAGTTCAGGGGCCCTTGGAAAGACTCAGTGCTGACCACATTTTGGAAGAAAAGCAGCATTTAAATACTGTAGGGATTATTATGAATAGGGTTTCTCAAGAGGATACTAGATTTTAAAAAGGGTACTAGGTTTGGGGTGCTTCTTTAAATCTTACCTTAATCTATATCCTATATAATAAAAGCCTAATATGCAAATTGACTGAATGGTGAAATGACTAGTTGGTGGGGGCCAGGGCCGGCGAGCAGGCAGCGCCAGGCCAGCCAAAGTGGGTGCCAGCGGGCAGAGGGAGGGGTTGGCGATTGGGGAGTGGGGCAGTGGTGACTGGCAGCGGCAGAGGGGGGGGAG